AGAGCATTTTGTGTATCTCCCTTCTTTTATGTTGTTTTTAATAATATATCCTAACAGCTACGATTTCCTTTGTAGTAGTGCTTTTTTAAAAGGTTGCACTTGGAATAATTTTTTAAAAAATACAGAGGTGGGGATTGTTTGAGAGTCCTTTTATTAAAAGTTTTTGCAACATGATGTCTCTTGGGCCATGACTATCAGGCACTGTCACAATGTAAGCCTGATACTTAAAGAAAGTCTCACAGATTTTGTAGGCTCCAGAACAAAAGTAACATTCAGTTTTCTCCCAATTCTATTTCCCTTCCACCCATAAAGAACAGAATGAGGTTCCTGGTCTGATCTTATCCCATGGTCATGTCTCATTTTTCTCTACACCTCCACTGTAGACTTAGCCCTGGGTCACCCAAAGTTTAGCAGAACTGGTTCCTATCTGAGGCTCACAAACTTCTATCATCAGATATTTGATTAATTAAGCTATACTGTCCTAACATCTTAAGGAATAGATTGGACGAAGGGCATCCAGTTGAAAAGTAGTTTCTGTTTGTTGTTTTCTCTTTTTGCTGGAGTTATCAGTTTTCCTTTTAATCATTATCAAGGACCTGTGTGATCCTTAACACCATACCTCAACGTATGCTGCCTTATTTTAGAGTTCTTTTCTTTATAGCTCTCAGTTGCCCTGATAGATATAAGGTTTATGGAAGCAAAGCCATACCTTACTTGTCTTTGTAACTTCACTGGCTTAGGCTCTCAGTAATGCCTGGAGAAAGATCAGTGAAAATGAATGACTTGAATGGCTTGGAGAGCAAAGGACTTGCCTGCCAATCTGAGCACAGCTGAGTTGTATATAGCCCTCAGCCCGTTGCCTCTTTTCTAGGACAAATCTGATTGATAATGTCTCCCCTCTTTCCTACAAGGATATTTTGAGATGAAATTGAGTTATATATAACATTTTGAGCCTTTCAGAGATGGTATTACATAAACCACTTTGCCTCTCAGCAGTTGTGTAATTTAGTTAGATGACATCTTGTGCTGGAGTCCACTTTGATGCAAATACTTTATTGCAAAGCTTCTTAAAAATAACGAATAAGTGATTTAGCCTTTTTGATGATTTTGAAATGATTTAAGAGATTGCTAATCAAAAACATTTCAGAGGACTAAGTTAATTACCTGACTCCACCACCACTGACTCTATTCATGATGCTGGAAAAAGTTACTTTCTCTCTGCTGGTTTTTGGCTGCCCCTCCCAGAATGTTGTCAAATACATTTTACTGTTGTATGAAATAAAGTCGTGGAGATGCAGAGTTCTAAGCAAATGTAGCATCAACAGTGCCTGGCACGTAATAGGGTCTCAGTAAGTTTCTACAGAATAAATTAATGAATCAATCTATTTTCATTACTGCAATGTAATATAGGGAATATCCCAGCCATCTATTTCTTCAGCCTCAGCTTCAATACTGCCTGCCAGTGGTGGAATCCCTCCAAAGGCCCCTAACTCCATTTGTCAACAAATTTAATTACTTTCAAATGCCACCTTAGACTTCTGTGAGGTATTCTGTGATTCCACTGGGCACTTAGTCATATCTGTGCTGCATTCCTCAAGTGTCCTACTCATACCTCTGTTGTATTTCTCACAGTACATTAGATTTCCAGTTATATCTCTCAGGTATCTCTTTGTAGACTATGAACTCCATGAGGACAGAAGTGTGTCTTGTTTTCTGTGTGCTCCCAGTTTCTAGCATAATACAGAATGGATGAAAGACTAGAAGGAGGGGGACAGAGAAATGAGAGGAAAAAATAATAATAACAGGAACTATATGTATTGATTGAGACTCAGTGGTCTCTTAAGAGGGCTGTGCTCATCCCTGAAAGTGTGTACCAAAGACAACCCCTTCAGATTCAGGAAGAAAAATTTAAAACAATTTTCTTTTTTTAAATCCTAACCATTTTAATTCCCATTTTTATGTATGTTTTGTACTCTGCATACTATTTTAAAATAGTTGTGCATATATTTAATACATAAATAAACATATATTACAAAATACAAATTCAAACAGTTTCCATTAAAGGTACAAATCATACATTTGGAGACTCCCTAGTATATTTGTTTGTCAGGTGCCTCTACTAAGCATTCGATGTAATATTATTTCATTTATTTAATTCACCAAAAATCCTGTGAGGTATGTATTGTGGTCCCCATGATGAAGAAGTTGATGCATAGAGAGGTTAGGTAATTTTCCTAATCATTTACAGCTGGTGAGTGGTGGAACTAAGGCCCAGGCTTAGATTTGTCTGGCTTACCCAGTGCCACATCCTCTCTTATTCTTCTCTCCTAGCACCCAGGGTTGTTCTTCAGGCACAGTACAGCCTTGTGGATTAAATAAGTAAACTGAACGAATAACTTAATCATACATTTTAAAGCTTTCTTCTACAGAAAAATAGTGAAAATTAAAATAAAATTGCTTTTTCATTGTAAAAGTGTGTATTGGCAATGATGAGCCAACTAACATACCTATGTAACACATTAGAATGCTTAGTCCCATTTCTTGACTAAAAAACTGAGGAACATCAAGTGACTTGTTCACTGCCACAGCTAAAGTCAAGCAGCTAGTATTCTCATGTTCACATATGATTACCAACCTGCTTTTTTAAATTGAAATATAATTTGTATGCCATAAAATTTACTCTTTTAAAGTATGAAATTCAGGAGTCTTTAGTATATTCACAAGATTCTGCAACCATCATTTTGAACATTTCCATCACTAATTTCAGAGCATTTCCATCATTCCAAAAAGAAAGCATATACCCACCAGTAGTCACTTCCCATTTCCCTTTCCTCCAGCCCCACCGCCCTCTAATCTACTTTCTGTCTCTGTGAATTTCCTGTTCTAGACATTTCACATAAAGTAAACTACACAATATGTGGCCTTTTGTGTACTTCTTTCAGATAGCATAACATTTTCAAGGTTCATCCAGCCCTTCATTACTCTTTAGGCTGAATAATATTCCATTATGTGGATAAACAAAAATCCATTCATCAGTTAATAGACATTTGGTTGTTTTCACTTTTTGGCTATTATGGATAATGCTATTGTGAACATTTTGTGTACAAGTTTTGTGTGAACATGTGTTTTCAGTTCACTTGGTTTATCCTAAGGAGTGAATTGCTGGGTCACATGGTAACTCACGTGTTTAACATTTTGAGGAACTGCCAAACTGTTTTCCAAAGTGGCTGCACCATTTTACATTTCTGCCAACACTGTATGAGGGTTTCAGTTTCTCAGCGTCCTTGCCAACACTTGTTATTGTCTCTTTTTTTATTGTAACCATCCCAATGGGTGTGAAGGTATCTCACTGTGGTTTTGATTTGTATTTCTTTAATGACAAGGATGTTGAACATCTTTGTATGTGTTTATTGTTCCCTAAACTACTTCTTTTAAATTTAAATTATTCCTATTTCCTTATTTATTTTATTCATTGGGATATAAATTTTATTCTTCTTCTTGTGATACCTATTTTGCCCCAGGAACTCTGAAAGCATATTAAATGCTCATGAGATCTCTTATTAAGGATTGCATGGCCTCTCATAGTGCCAAGCTGCTCGTGCCATGAACTATAAGAATTTAACTGAGTTTCCACTGACAACTTTTTAGGAAGTCTCCACATCACATTGTCAGATAACAAGCTTTTATAAACCCCACATTATGATGATAATGATGCTTTATTGTAAAGCATTTAATGTTACAGGAACTCCAAGACTTTTTTTCAAAAAAAATTTTTTTAACTTTTCACATTACTATGAGGCAGAAAAGAAGCCGGTAGATGCCTCAGGGAGTCCTCCAAGAAAGTGTTTGTAGAGATATAAATATCTAAAAAATTCTAGGGTGTCTTGGGAAAAAAATCCTTGTTAGTACAACCAGTGTTTCCAGAATATTTTCAAATTGCTTTTAAGCTATATGCCAATTCTGCATCTAAATCATACTGCTCATATGTGATACTAATATTTTAGTAATGCTAAAATTAATGTTCGCTATCAAATCTAGTTTAGGTCAAAGAGAAAGGAAGGGAAAAGTTTTGAAAATTTTATATGCCAATTTCCACCTGTACTGTGAAATAATATTTATACTAGCATCTAAAGATCTATAGTAGTATTCTTTTTCAAAAAGTACTTGACAGATGACATATACAGTAAATCCACCTCGGTTGGAGCTATGAGATCTTCCAGGCTTTCAGATCTTACAAGTTCCCATCTTACATTCAAATTTTATTTGATGGCTTTTACCAATACTAGTTATTTTCAATCTTACTGCAAGTTGAGTATATTTGGTAATTATGTTTACAGTGATGAAATTCATCAATTCCCTCAGAAACTGGGCTTTTTTAATGGCAAACTTTTTTTATGAAAAAAAAAAAAAAAACTGTGAGTTTTTGTTTACTTGATCTACAAAAACTGGTTGGGCACCTACAAGGCACTAGACCTAGGAAAGGCAGTGAGAGCAGAACAATCATGGTGCTTGCCCTTGCAGAGCTCATAGCAAACCTGCAAACTCCAGAAACAATTCCATCACTGCAACTGTGATCAATGCTGAAAGTGAAAATGTTAAGATTCTATGAGAGGGTATCATAAAGGAGCTGACCCAGCTTATGGTTGTCAGAAAAGGCTTCCCTGAGGAAATGATACATAATTGGGGACCTGAAGGAAGCCTAAGCTTTAGCAAAAGCACGAGGCAGAGGGGACTTGCATGTGCACAGGACTAGGGCAGACAGGACTTGATGATTTTGAGGGCCTTAATGAAGGGCAGAGAGGCTAGTGTGTGAGTGTGAGGAGCAAAAGGACAGGAGGCTGTGTGATGGATGGGGCAGGCAGCGCATGGAGACATGTTAGGGATTTGGGCCTCTGTCAGTTGGGGAGCTGCTGCAGAGGTTAAGGCTGTGGCATTTGTTAGTAGCCATAGAATTAATAAAGGCCAAATGATCCTTTGTTATTTTCCTCTCCCTTGGTCAGGAATATGACTGGCGAAACTATCAGCCCAGCCAGATGAGTGAATCCGAGTTACAGATGCTAGCGAGCCTACGGCGGCAACAAAATGAAGAACTGGAGGATGCTGGGACCTCCCATGGCCTGAGTGCATCCCAGGTGGACAACTGTAATGTCAGCATAAGTACCAGCAGTGACGACACAGCCACCTGGAACTCCTGCCTGCCACCTGTGAGTCCTGAGCTTTGCAGCTTCCTCTCATTGCTTAACAAGGAGCAAGTTTCTTTCTAACAAATCCCCGTCCTGCCTGGAAAAGCCAGGACCAAAAAAAGAACACTCGCTATAAGAAATGATTAGAGCCCATTCTGAAGTAGTATTTTAGAACCGGGGACAGAAATTAGAAGATGACAGTCTTCTTTAATTGTCTTATTTACCTTCAGAGAAGGTATATATGATGATATATCAAACTGCACATTGAAAGAACAAAAAGAACAATTTTACTATAGATATTGGGTGTCCCATTGTGTCCCCTGTTCCTAGTATAAGCCATGTGGCACATACAAGAGGCTCAATATTTGTTAAATAAATATTTGTGAAATGAATGAACACAAAGGAAAAGACTATAGATAAACAAGTATTCCTTGGATATGAAGACAGAAAAGACTATAGATATACAAGTATTCCGTGGATCTGAACCTTCTGTAGAAGTCACCAGATGTTCACGGACTCCTCACTGTGTCTGATGGGCCTTGATAGGCACTGTGGATGCTTCAGAATCTTATATTCCCATGTGCTTCCATAGTTAAAGTACTTTCAGTGTGGCCCATTGCCCTCACTATGGCCTGGTAGAGGGGTTGAAACAGGTCTTAGCCTTCCTGTTTTTCAGGCGAAGAAAGTGAAGCCTGTGTCCAAGCTTCCACATCTGGTCAGTGGTAGAGCCCAGAGCAGAGCCCAGTGTTTTAATTCAGTCCATTCTCTCTAATACTGCCCTCAAGGACCTTACAATTTAATTAGAAAGACAGAGCATCCATCAAATAGTTCAGTACAGCACAAAAAATGTCATAAAGCAGAATAATAAAATCATTGCTATAATAATGATAATTAGAGCTATCATTTCTTTAAATACCTAGAGTCATTTTAAGACCTCCACAGGCCTAAGAAACATTTACTTACAAGGCTACATTCAATATCATAGCAAACAGACTAAAATATGCTTTCATCCAAAAGTGAATATGTTTTTGCTCTACAATTTTTAAAGGAAATATAAAACCATATAACTTCTACTCATTTATATACAACTATATAAAGGTTGAGTTGAAGTGTAGTTGACAGTAGATAAGTTAGGTTTTAAGTATTTAATTAAATACCTCTTAATTTTGTGATTTACTTTTCATATTTTAAAGCCAGTTTTTTCCAGGTCTCCAAAATCTTTGTAGATCTTGGAAATCTCAGAGGCCGTGGCACCTAATGCCTTACATGTGTTATCTAGTTTACTCCTTAACACTACTGTGTGGTAAGCACTGCTGCAGAGCTCTTGAGTAATGGAGGCTCTTGAGTAAAGTGAATCAGACCTAACTTGGTCTGACTCCCAAGTCTGGGCTCCTGACCACCATGATGTGGTGACTCAGTTGTCAGATGAATGTTATCCAGTGGATATCTGGCTATCCAGTGGATGGTGAGATTTCTGTGCTCTGGGGAGAACTTACACAAGTCTTCATGGAGGATAAATTCCAACTGGCTTGATGGGGAGGGAGGATGATGTCAGTTATATATTAGTGCTCTTTATCCCTACGTTGCATACCTTCAGGGTTCTCTTGCCTTAATTGTGCTTTCGTTAAACACAACTATCAAGCATACATAACACTTCTGGCATCCTTGGTGCCAAAAAGTATCCACCCAGCCAGAAAAATATCTGACTTGGTTAGAGTATCCTTGTAGCCAAGCTAAGATCGTAAGAGTCAGTTACAGATTTTTGCCAGTACACTTTGCAATAGAATAGAAACATTGCCTTTCTTATAAAATATTCTTCAGCAGTCATTTAAACTGCAAATAAGAAGGAGAACAGTGGCCTCCTGATCAAGCTCACTCTGTCATGAAGTAGCTCAGAGACCAGCATTACAAAGGGCAAGTTGAGTAATGATTATTTATGGACTGAAAAGGCTGAACTCTTGGTTGCCCTGATACAGTGTTCTCATCACTGTCCTGTTCTGGCAAAGAGTGAAATCTCCTGCATGACAACTATTCCACACTAAAAGTATATAGCCAAAAATAACACCTTTGGTAATGAACTTAATAACCCCTCTTTTTGACCAAATGAGACATTGAAAACACTCTAATTTTGTTTAGAGAAAATATTGAAAAGCCTGCCTTTGGCGTTCATAAGATATGTTTATTATTGCATCAGAGTCAGTCTATATAAACATTGGAACTACTGCCAAATGGAAAATTGTATTCCTTAATGAACTCTGTGTCTTGTTGCTTGTATAGAGTTTAGATAGAGCAATTTTACAAGGATCGTTGTGGCCTTTTTGAGAGCTCATGCCTTTCTCTTTAAAAGTTGTACAGGGACAGTGAAAAAGAAGAAATAAAATAATTCATACCTTTATTCATCACAATAATATCCAACTTTTTTTTTTTTTTTTTTTGAGACTGAGTCTCACCCTATTGCCCAGGCTGGAGTGCAGTGGCCTGATCTCGGCTTACTACAACCTCTGCCTCCCAGGTTCAAACAATTCTTCTCCTCAGCCTCCCCAGTAGTTGGGATTACAGGTGACTACCACCACACCTGACTAATTTTTGTATTTTTAGTAGAGACAGAGCTTCACCATGTTGGCCAGGCTGGTCTCGAACTCCTAACCTCAAATGATCCGCCCACCTCAGCCTCCCAAAGTGCTGGGATTACAGGCATGAGCCACCACGCCCAGCCTATCCCACTCGTCTTTTATCTCAGCGAATACTGTCAACATCCATACTGACCCTTTAGCCAGAAATTTGGAAGACATCTTCATTTCTGCCACTCCCTTATCCCACATCCAGTTGGTCTCCAAATTCTAAGAATCTTTTTACCTTTAACCCACCCTTCCTAATACCGCAGCCTTGGCACTTTCCTTTTTTCTTTTTTTCCCTTAATCCCATGACTGATTATGCACTTTATTTTTTTTTCCAATATTTACTTTAGATTCAGGGGTTACATGCGCACATTCGTCACTGGGGTACAATGCATGATACTGAAGATTGGGGTACAAATGATCCAGTCATGCAGATACTGAACATACTCCCCAGGAGTTACTTTTTCAACGCTAACCCCTTTCCTCCCTCTCCTCTTTAACAGTCTCCAGTTTGTATTGTTGTCATCTTTATTTCCATGAGTACCTGATGTTTAGCTCCTGCTTATAAGTGAGAACACGCAGTATATGGTTTTCTGTTCCTGCATTCATTTGCTTAGGATAATGGCCTCCAGCTATATCCATGTTGCTGCAAAGGACATGATTTCGTCCTTTTTTAGGGCTTTTGCACTTTATTTTTCACCTGAATTCCTTCAACAGTCCCCTGACATCTCTGTGCCTCCAGTCCAAGCACCATCACCTGGTGTTTTGGAGCATCAGCTCTGATGTCAAATTGCCATGGTTCAAATCCAAGCTGTGACCCTTATGAAATGCTTGGCACTGTATCTGAGACATAAGTACTTAATAAATAAAGGTTAGCTGTCATTATTGTTATCATTAGCCCTCACATTAGTGAGCTTTCTAAAGCCCGGTTCTGATCTGATCTGATCTCTTCCCCATGTAAAGCCCTTCAGTGACTCCCCTTCACCTCTTTAATTTGCATACAGGAGCCCCCATGCCCTGAGACTTGCCCTCTCTCTAGCCTCATCTCTCACTGCACCCCGCCTTTCACTCCATTCTTTAGTCTCTCTTGTGATTCCCTAAATGTACTCTGCACGTTCTCCCTGTACCTTGGACCTGATTAGCCTCAAAACTTAGCTCCAAAGTAACTGTAGCCCTTCTCCAGGCCTCGTTGTGAAGGATACCCCTTCTCTGCCACAAGAGCCAGGAGTATCTCCATGATAACTCTTACCACAAGCTTGATTGTCTGTGTCACATTCACTCATTCCACACGTATGTTTCTGAGTGGTACAATGTGCTGTGAATAAGGCTGGCTGCTGAGGATACAGATAAAGGCTTATCCAAGTTTGAGGTGTTCACCGTTTTGGAGGGGAAGCCCAGGTAAACAGCTCACTGTGACACAGGGTGGCAAGTGATAGTAGAATAATGAGTTATGGGAACATGTGAGAGGGACCGATTCCACCTGTGGGTTTCAGGGATGCTTTCACAGAGAAGGCAACAGTTAAGCCGAAGTTCAGTAATGAGTTCAAGTTGGAATTCCAAGTTCCAAAAGGAAACCGAATTAAGTTTGTGGTCGGGGGGTAGAGGGGAGTCTCTTCTTTAAGAAGATAACCTCCTCGTAGTGCCTTTGTTTCTCTGTCAGCTTGCATAGCACTTGAAATGAGTTTTTCTTGTCTCACTACCCATCCTGCCACCCAATATACATCCAGGGGAGCCACTCTGCTCCTGCCACACTGTTGACCTGGCTGTCACTAGTGGCCCTGTGTTCAGATCAGGCCGTGCTCAGCTCTCTGTCTGGCAGCTCCCTAATCCCTCTTCTCTGCTTAAAAAATGGCTTTTTAATTTCTGTTTTGGTTTTTTGGTTTGGGGCTGAATTTTTTATTAAAGACTAATTTTTTGAGCCATTTTAGGTTCACAGCAAAATTGAGAGGAACCCCATTATCAATGTCCCCCACCAGAGTGGTTATTTGTTACAATTAATGAACCTCCATTGACACATCATTATCACCCAAACTCTGTAGTTCACATTAGGGTTCACTCTTGGTATTGTGCATTTCATGGGTTTAGACGAAGGTAGTGACATGTATCCACTATTATAGTATCATACAGGGTAGTTTCACTGCCCTAAAAATCATCTGTGCCCTATTTGTTTATCCCTCCTTTTGCTTATTTCTGAAGGTGCAACTCAGTTGTCGCTGCTTCATGAAACCTTCCTCAACTCTCATCCCACCCTGAACAGAATTATTCGCTTCCCTCTCTAGGTCCCTGTTATCTTCAGGCTCAGTTATAGCACTTACAACATCAGCTAACCACTGTTACTAGTATCCCCAGGCCGGTTTGTGAATTCCTTGAAGGCAGAACCCTGCCTGTGTTCTTTCATACCTT